TATGGTCAACTCTATTGGTACTAAAATAACCCAGCTGTTCAGGGTTACAGTCCCTGAACTAGTGATTTTACCTAAAAACAACAACAACTGCAATAGATTAAAGTCAAATAACTTCATTTGTACAGTACAATTGTCTACACACTAGATTACCTGGAGATAGAAAAGTGTCTTTTGACTACACACTATATTAACCGAGACAGGATTTGAGTCAATCGAGCAGTTAGACATTTGTGTATATATTAATCTACTTGGAAAACTGCTGGGTTAGCCAGTTCAATTTCCCCTATTGATAGCCTACTTTTAGGCTCATTTTTATATGTTTACCCTTTTTTGTCTCAAATGACTGGAAATAATCACATTTTCACAAACTGTTAACAAATTTGTATCTATTAAACACATGTTGGCTATATAAAAACCATATTTTTTGTCATTTGTACTTTCACAAATACATCCATATGTAGAATGTATTTTCATTGATTTCATTTTGTATCCCTTTATTTAATATTTCAACATTTTTTCACAAAATGTTTTGAGTTTGAAAAAGTTCCATACACGTTGTTGAAGTGTGTCGTTGCGATTAACTGTCTACATGTTGTTTTATTTTTTTGCATCATCAAAAATTTACTACTTTTATAACGATATTCTGTTTATGTCCTATTTGTGTGTGTCGATTTTTTTGGTGGCAGCTGCAATTTATTAATTTGAAGGACATATAAGCAAAATCAAGAAAAATATATAGAAGTTAAATGAAATTATCATGTTTATATGGAAAATTTTTTTGTGAAATTGAGCTTTCATAAGTGGGGTTCGAAAACTTAAGGTTTCTAGTATATCTAGGTTAACAAAAGTGTAAACAAGGTTAATAGATCAAGTTGAGCCGCAATGTTTATAAACATCTTTAGAAACTATTTAAAACTATTTTGATTACATGATATTTATAAACAAAGTTTATTTAACTATGTTTATAAACAATGTTTACAAACAAATTTTATTCAATATTTATCAGTTTCCTGGACGTATTTCCTGAGAATTTTCCAATCAGTGTTCGTGAGGGATGTTATATCCATTATAATATCACTCCCCAGATATTTGGATCTAATTTCGGCGAATGTCTGACAATGGCAGAGAAAGTGCTTCAGAGTTTCACTGTCCTCTCTACATGTTCTATATTCGTTAGAATCCGCATGTCCAATTTTGTATAACTGTGCCCGTAATCCTGTGTGTCCACTCAGAATACGTACCATCATACTAACCTCAGACTTAATCGTCTTGCTCTCGTTCACCCCATAGGATCTTTGTAGTTCTACCCACCGTTTCAATATTTCAAGATAACTTCATTCCTCATTGCGTCAAATGGTTATGCCTCCGTCAGGTTAACTACCTTGAAGCGTTTACATTCGCTCTTTCGTTGCCGACTACTACCGAGTGGCCTGGTGCCAATATGATGTAAACCTTACATCTAGAAGAGTATACGGTTAGAGCTTCTTACAATCCAATACGTCCTTAGATTTAACATCTGATATCGCCCTAATTGCCTTCTGGCTGTTGGTAAATATGTTAAGCCCTGTAGGCGCCATATTTATTCTATCCAATTTACACATTCCGTTATTGCTCGGACTTCTTCTGCCTGAAAGCTAGTGTTGTTATTAGGTAAACAATGGGTCTTCAATATAGGCTCAATTTCTCCCCCAATTTAAAGCCATCCGTGTAGCAACGGATTCCTACCCTAATGTTCCGCCTGATCAAGACATTCTATCTGGGATTAGTGTTTCCAATTTTCCGGTTTATTCTGCATATGGTGAACGGGAACGTCCGATGATTGTGTATAGCCTTCCAATGTGTCCAGTATACATTGATGACGTGTCTTATAATCGCTTTTGGCCAGTTCGCCTAAAGTTATGAACCATTGGCTTGTCAGTGTCGCCGTATATCTTATATATGTTTCAATGAGCCTCAATTGACGTTGTACTCATGGCACCATGGCACTCCCTGTAGTAATTTGATATTGTACTTTTTGTCCAAAGAAGTCTACCAGTTTAATGAAGCATAAGTTAGAATCGTTGTAATTACACTTTTATAAAACCAATGTATTATGTATATTAGAAGTATTACGACATCGTCTGCATAGCAGACAGGTCTAAGTCCTTTCTGGGCTAGGGTCCTTAGGAGACTATTAAGCGTGGTTAACCAGCGAAATACCACTTTCTTGATATGATTATCGTGGTAGTTCACTGTGCGTGAACAGTCAAGTAGAGTAGAGGGGATTTTTAAATCTTGCATCTTGATCCAATTGCTGAGCACCCGGTCAACATTAAACTGGTCTAAGGATTGGATAATATTATCAGTGTGCACGTTATTGAAGAATCCTTCGATGTCAATGCATACCGCTTGTGTATATAAGTAGTTTGCTATCGAAGGATTCACCTACATATATAATGGACAACTGCGTTTAATGCAGTTTCCACCGATCGTCCCTTTACATAAGGGACGGAAAACTCATTGGTCGATAGGACTTAGGTGTCGCATAACTAGGTTTTTCTGGTTTGGGTATATGTCAATTTAAAGCATAAAGATGTGCAGAAACCAGTCCCGCATCCATCAGCAAAAATGGAAAATTCCATCCGCTCCTGCAGCTTTATTACATATTTAATGTTCCTGATTGCAAGAATAGTTAATGTATTACTAGAGATATACATACCACCTTAATGATTAGAAAACTTAGGTATACTTTAATCAAGACTTTTTCCATTATTATTTTCTTAATATTTAATAATTACGTTATTTTGTTTTCCCTTTCTCTTATAAAAGAAAGAAAACTTGAACTTTTGCTTTAATAAATAATTTCTTGAAAAACAAAAACGTTCAATAATTTTGTTTATGACATGATAACATAAGGCAGACATTGTCTGTATTGCAGACTCTAAGTTCTGATTATTTTAATATTTTGTTTTTACATACGTAATTTATCAAAAAATTGCTAAAACTTTTGTCTTCAATTTTATTACCAACTTATTGAGGCATGATGATATATATACGCAAATTTAATGATAAACAAGTAAGAACTCATAGTTGGACATGGCCGACCATATAATGCCCTACACCAGTGATTATGTTAAAAATATTGATTATTTTTTTTATAATAAAGTATTGAATTTCATTTTTACCTTAATTCAGAAATATTTTAACAATTTGTTGACAAAAAAAGGTATTTTATAAATGAAGGGTTATATGGGGGCAGGGGGCTAATATGGTCCTATCCTTAAAATAAATTTTGGTAGAGGGATTTACGTCTACATTAGTTATTTATGCAGAATATTATCATGATATTAGTGTTTAAAAGTGAATTTTGACAAGGGAAAGGGACTTTGTATGGGCGATAGGGTCAAATGAGGCCCGTAAACTAAGTTTTAACGATTTTTGAAGTGATACAAGAACATTTAACATAACATATTTTTACTCAGAAAGTGATTCTGAGCCTAGTGGTATACTTTAAGATGGATGTAGGACCAATATTTATGGGTGTTACAAACATCAGCACAAACGCATAATACCATCCCCACTATAGTAATATTTAAACACCATAGTGATGATTATGATTTTTAATAATTGAAAATGACTTTTAGCAGAAAATTAATTAATTTATATTTATAAAAACTTATTTACTTTAAGACAGCCAAGTAAGTTTTTAATTTTCAAAAAGAAGAAATGTTTTTATCTTAATTAGTTTATATTAAATTTGAATTTATGTATGTATATATGTTATGCTCATTAAATGTAAAAGATAAACTTTTTTCTGATCCCTCTGTACAAACCACAAGGGATAGTTAGATAACATAATAGGATTTTGTTAAAATGTGCGCCTAAAAAGAAGCCATGATATATTTTTAAGCAGACTAACTAAAAGTATGCTTTACTTTTCATAACATTAAATGGATAAACAGTTTTTAAAACTTTAGCATACTTAAGGCTGTGGGAGTAGTTTTTTAAATGCGAAATTAACTCTTTTCTCTAGCAGAATAAAGCTGAACAAAAAATCCCTAAAACTATACTAAATTATTTTTAGCTGCTGTATGCGTGTTTACAGTTTTTCTGGCCGCCTAAATCTCTACTTATAAATGTTTTTGTTAGTTTAGCTGACTGCCAAAATATTCTCCAACAGAAAAACAAAAATCGTAGCCATAATCTTTTTTTTTTTTGCTGCTGTGTGTCTTCTTTGCAATCCCATGTATTGCTGAATTCTCACGTTTCTTTAGACACTAAGCGGAAATTAAGCATTTCATTTGCTGCATTTTAATGCCAACAAATATCATGTTTTTCAGCCATAGTTTTTCTTGGCCAGTTTTATAGCCATACTGATGTGATGTGTTCTGTAACTGTCTGCTGCAGTTGTAGTTGCCTTTGTTCGTTCTTTCCATTCGTTTGCAACTAGTAAAAGTTTTATTGTTTTAGCATTTAAAATAGCGCCTAACAACAGACTGCAATTATTTTAAGATTTATAACTCAGTAAAGAATTAACTTGGCTTAAGATTTTGATATTAAATGCCTAGTATAAAAGAAAACTAAGGCAAGAAAGAAGATTATTATTCACATAATGTCTACATGATGGATTTTTTAAGTAGTGGGAGTCATTGGCTCTTAATGTTTAATATAGACAATATTTTATTGCTGTCAAAGTGTTCAACAATTGAGATTTTATACCTGTCTGCAGCAATAAAAAATTTATGAGTTTTTCTTTAAAGATAAAGTGCCAAAAATTGCTTGCATGTGTGAAAAAAATAAGCTGTTAAAAGAAAAAGATTTAAATTTGAAGAAAAAACTAAAGCGGAAATTGCTGGAATTTTCTTATTTAAATATCTAAAAGAAATATTTTAATATGGCTCCCTAAAATATGCTACATATTTTTCCAACAGTAGACTCCTTAATACATACTTTACTTTATTAAATTTCTAGTTTTAAAACTGTTTAATATTTCAAATTCTTTTCAATTCTTCTCCTTTCAGATTGTATTTGTTTTGGCTGCTTTCCTTGCCTGCGCTTATGCTAAACCTGGTGGTCCAGCTGCCTACTCAATTTCCGCCCCCAGTATTGATCATGCTTCAGTAGGTCAATCACAAGAGCATACCGTTAAGGGTCATTATGGTCAATCCTCACAGTCGGAATACTCAAGTGCAGTTAAAACCGCACACTCACAATCTCATGTACAACGCTCCAGCATTAGCAATGATGCTGCTATTGCTCCCGGTAAGTATTTGGATTTAAAAGAAAAACCCCTTAAACATAAAATATCCTATAAAATCCTTTAGCAATATGAAAACAAAATATTATATAAAATAATTATAACTTCAGCACCATTTTGTACATAAAAATATTGCACAGTAATATTTGTTATATATCTATCCCATTTTGCCCGATTTCCTAAACATATTTTTGAAACAAACTTTAATCCACTAAAAACTTAAACAAGTCCTTCCTTTCCATTATCTACAAACGGTGTAAAAAGCCTGATCATTTTTGTATTGTGAAATCGTATTTGAAATTAACCATTTGTATATAATCTAACCCCATAAATATATCAAAAAATATATAAAACTGAAGGTCATGTAGTTGCTGCTGCACCTGCCGTTCTCAGTCATGGTCCCGCCTTAATTGGTCATTCTGCACCAGCTCTCTCACATGGTTATTCTTATGCTGCTGCCGCTCCTGCCTTATCTCATGGTTATTCTTATGCTGCTGCTGCGCCTGCCATTTCTCATGGTATTTCTTATGCCGCTCCCGCTCTTTCACATGGTGTTTCTTATGCTGCTGCTGCGCCTGCCGTTTCACATGGCATTTCTTATGCGGCTGCTGCTCCCGCCATCTCACATGGCTATTCTTATGCTGCTGCCGCTCCTGCCATTTCACATGGCATTTCTTATGCAGCACCCGCTCTGTCACATGGCTTGTATTCGCATGGCATCTCACATGGTTATGCCGCACCTGCTGCCATCAAATATACTTCAGCACCCTCAATTGGTAGGTTAACAACAACAAAAGGATAGGTAATCTAGATTTTAAGTGCTTTTAATGCTTTCATAGAATTTGCACAGATAATTGTTCTGTAGTCAAAACTATTTGCACCCATAATTATTTAGTCTATTAACATTAGTTTAAGGATCTTAGTTAAACTATTGCATCAATATTAAAAATGTATCAAATTTTATACACATATTTTATACATATTTTTTAATAGCGCAGATTACATCCCTTTAGGATGTAAATAATACCCTATATATATTGTTACTTATATTTTTGAATTCAAGAAAATCAGTTCGGTCTTGAATTAGAATTTCCTTTTAACGTTTTCTCTCGACAATCCGTTGAAAGCCTATGATCGCTTAAAAATTTGCTTTTGTAGATTGATCATTGTTGCTTTATTATTTTTCATTTAAAAATATTACTATAAAATACAACTGAGGATACATTAGTGATCGAGATCTATAATTCCGATCTTGAAAGCGGAAGAACAGATTCATCACGTCATATAGACTAGACTAGAAACTAGAAGACTATAGACTAGACTATAGACTAGACTATAGACTAGACTATAGACTAGACTATAGACTAGACAATAGACTATCTTCTATATATATAAAAATGAATGTGTGTTTGTTTGTATGTTTATATGTTTGTATGTTTGAACGTTATAGACTACTAAACGGCTGAACCGATTTTATTCAAATTCACAGCGTATTCCTGTATATCTGGAATAGGTAATAGGCTACTTTTTATTTTGAAATTCCAAGTGGGCGAGGAGCCACGCCTATATAAAGAAAATATTAAATCCGTATATTTTAGATAATATAATAGTTAGAGTCCTCAAATTTTGTCGGAGGAACTTGAGTGTTAATATAATTATCTAGGACAAAAAGTAGGCGGACTATCATTAGGGGGCGTGGCGCCTCCCATATAAATTAAATACAAAAATACGTTTATCTTGGAAACTATTACAGTTAGAATCTTCAAATTTTGCACGAAAATCTTTAACATCCATCTAAACATTTTGGGTAATAAATTGGCGGACTACCCATGAGGGGAGCGGCACCTCTCATATTAATTAAAGACAAAAATTCGTTTATCTGGAAAACTAATGGAACTAAATTCATCAAATTTCGCACGAAGAACTTAAATATTCATCTGAACATTTTGGGGAAAAAAAGCGGACTTTCATCTGGGGGGTCTTGAAGCTCCCACATGAATCAAATAGAAAAATTCGTATATGTGAGAAACTTTAAGAGCTAGAATCTTCAAATTTTTCATGGAGAACTTTGAAATTCATGTGAACACTTAGAGCATAACGGGACTTTCAATGGGTGGCTTGGCACAACATATATGAATTAAATAAAAAATTTCGTGCATCTTGGAAACTCTTATATTATTAATTTTTTTTATAGATAGATAGAAATTGGCGATAGATAGAAACTGGCGAACTTGCAATAATTTGCTTGACATCTTTATATAATAAATCTGGTATTTATTATACATATTCCTTTTAGGGTAGCAAAGCACACTGGTTATAGCTAGTAGACTATAAACTATAAAGTATAGACTAGACTATAGACTAGACTATAGACTAGACTATAGACTAAACTATAGACTAGACTTAGACTAATAGACTAGACTATAGACTAGACTATAGACTAGACTATAGACTAGACTATAGACTAGACCTATAGACTAGACTATAGACTAGACTATAGACTAGACTATAGACTAGACTATAGACTAGACTATAGACTAGACTAAGACTAGACTATAGACTAGACTATAGACTAGACTAATAGACTAGACTATAGACTAGACTATAGACTAGACTATAGACTAGACGATAGACTAGACTAACTATAGACTAGACTATAGACTAGACTAGACTATAGACTAGACTAGACATAGACTATAGACTATAGACTATAGACTATAGACTAGACTAGACTATAGACTAGACTAGACTAACGAGACTATAGACTAGACTAGACTAACTAGACTATGACTACTAGACTAGACGAGACTAGAGACTAGACTAGAGACTAGACTAGAGACTAGACTATAGACTAGACTATAGACTAGATATAGACTAACTAAAGCTAGACGAAAGCTAGAACTATAAGCCTAGAACTATAGACTAGAACTATAGGACAGCTATGACTAGACTATAGACTAGACTATAGACTAGACTATAGACTAGACTAGACTAGACTATAGACTAGACTATAGACTAGACTATAGACTAGACTATAGACTAGACTATAGACTAGACTATAGACTAGACTATAGACTAGACTATAGACTAGACTATAGACTAGACTATAGACTAGACTATAGACTAGACTATAGACTAGACTATAGACTAGACTATAGACTAGACTATAGACTAGACTATAGACTAGACTATAGACTAGACTATAGACTAGACTATAGACTAGACTATAGACTAGACTATAGACTAGACTATAGACTAGACTATAGACTAGACTATAGACTAGACTATAGACTAGACTATAGACTAGACTATAGACTAGACTATAGACTAGACTATAGACTAGACTATAGACTAGACTATAGACTAGACTATAGACTAGACTAGACTATAGACTAGACTATAGACTAGACTATAGACTAGACTATAGACTAGACTATAGACTAGACTATAGACTAGACTATAGACTAGACTATAGACTAGACTATAGACTAGACTATAGACTAGACTATAGACTAGACTATAGACTAGACTATAGACTAGACTATAGACTAGACTATAGACTAGACTATAGACTAGACTATAGACTAGACTATAGACTAGACTATAGACTAGACTATAGACTAGACTATAGACTAGACTATAGACTAGACTATAGACTAGACTATAGACTAGACTATAGACTAGTCTAGCTAGTCCAAAGACTGGACAATAGACTGGCACATGCATCACTTTCTTGGATTTTCTTTATTTTTTTCAATAAGATTTCAATATCTTCCCAAGTATGGCTAGTTTAGAACATAAAATTATTGACCAATAAGCTCAAGTTTTAAATTCAAATGTTGTTTAAATGTTTCCTTTTAAAAAATCCCTTCAACCTACATCGAATTATAACATATCACAAACATCGTTACCAATTAATTGGTAAATCTTCGTAAGAAAATATTGCATGCAATTTGCTTTTTTGCAGACACTATTATTCAGTTATAATTGTCAATAACAATTTGATTTTTCCTTACATTTACAATCAAATGAGATTTTGCATATGCGTTACATTAGCATTTTAGCCAATCAACTAGAAATGTTTTGCAACACCAACAATGAAGTAAATGTCAATCTCCCAGACACCTACACTTATTCAAGAATAAAATATCGTCATCATCATTAGCATTACAATCTTAAGAAAAGCAATTCTATAGCTGTACAAGAAGAAGAAGAAAGAAAATTTATAACGAGCTTTGCGAAAAGGACTAACAATATTCATAAATATGTATGTTTTTAGTTAATATCAGTGGAGGAGTTATTGCTATTGTTACCATCATTGAGAATCATTGTTGTTTGTTTGTTGTTTATTTATTAGTAGAAAGATGCATTAATGACATTTCGGCCATATTGAATGAAAGGATATGCAGACATTTATATGCGCGCGTTGTGGTGTATGTGTATGTGTGCGTCACTGTCTGTGTGTGATTGATGTCCTTTATTTTGTTGCTGCTGTCAGTTATCTTTAGTTCGTTTGATATGACAACAATGCATTTCGCATAAAATAGCATTGTTGTCATTGTTGTAGTTGTAAACATGGCAATAGACATGTTGTTTGCTTTTCCTTGTTGTTGTTGCAAAATGATTGATTAATTTTTAGTCAGAGTTGGGAAGTATTCACTGATATATGTGTGTGTGTGTACTTAAATACATATACAGAATTTTGTTTAAGCAATTGACAACAGCCCTATAATGATCTCGCAGTATGCTAATTGTTTCAGTATCGAAATCTCTTATAAGTGTCTTTAGAGTAGCATTTTCCCATATGTTTGGGAATGCTGGGCTAGTTGTTTTCAAAACACACTTGACAGCTGATTGGCTCTCAATTTGCTTTATCATTTTTTCTTGGAAAACATTTAACAACGATGACTTTAACTAATCATAATGTTTTTTATACCCTTCACTTTCGTTTGTTTGTTTGTAAGTTTGTCATTGCGTTTGTAATTTCTACAAAATTTACATACTACCGATAAAAGGATTTATTGTTAATAACTTCCTCGCGAATATCGGTTTTACCACAAAATTTTGGCCAATCTAATGTCAATAGAAATTCTATAACTAAGTGAATCCTGGATCGGTCCACAATAGCAAATAGCTCCCATATAAAGAGCACTTACGAAAATCAATTAAACGAATATAATTCATTAAAAAATCATCATATCAGGACAATATTTAACACTAAAGATTTGTGTAAATACATTAAGTATTGAACGAAATTTTTTCCGGGTCGACCCATAATAGGTCAAATCTTTTACATAAAGTTATTTTCAGAAAATGACATAATCATTAAAAACTTTTGAATTAATAATTTTATCACCAATTCGTTACGAATGTATTTTGTATCATTGTGTCAAATTTTTTTCGGATCGACCCATAATTGGTCCCATATGTGGTCCTCTTCTCAAAATTCCTTCATCGTAAATATGTAACTCATCATTTAACAATGATATTGATATATAATTGCACAGGAATATGTTTTATATTTATATTTTCCTGATCGGTCCATAGCTCCCATATAAGAACCACTTTATATATATGCAAACCTTTTTCTGGACCCCTTTTTCTGGATCGGTCCACTATTTGTTTGTTATTAAGTACAAAAATTTATTAATGTAGATTTCTATAAATATTCGGGGTGTTAATAAAAAACTAGCTTGTACTTGAAGGGTATTTAAGACCTACACCACTATGCTGGGGTGGGTATTATGCGTTTGTGTTGATGTTTGTAACACCAAAAAAATTATTGGTCCTGCACCTACTTTCGTCCGTCTATTTATCCATCCGTCCGTCCATCTATCCGTCTCTCTGTGTATGTCCATGTCAACCTTGTGCGCATATAAAAAGCGAATGGGAATTGTAAAGTAAAACCCTTCTTTATTATATCGCATTTAGACATTTTTTACCGAATTTTACAAATTTAAAGTACAAAGCTTTTGGGTTATGACAATTTGTCAGTTTTAATTTGATATGACTTCTTTCGTTTTTTATTTCTACTTGCACTTCAATTATTATGAGGTAAAAAGTCAAAATCATTAACCTTATTCCAGATAAACACACATACACAGAAACCCATTAAAGTAATACATTCAAGTGTGTTTGTATGTGCATTAGAGGGGAGAATTTAAAATATTTTTTTAATATTCAGAATTTTGAAAAGTTTTGAGAAAAATTATGATAAATACGGATACAATTTTGACTTAAATACTCTTATAATCTTTATAATCTTTCACCAGCTTTAGAAATAAAGTTGCAATAGAATTAAAGTGAAAATTAACCCTCTGGTGAGCTTAGAACCAAAATGGTCCGAATGAATATTTAAATTAATTGTTGAAACAAAGCTTAGAAAAAGTTTAACTTTTAAATCGTGTTAAAATTTTTTAATCGAGACTTTTTTGAAGCTTAAAGTGTAATAAAAAAAGCAATTTGGAAATTACTTTCAAATTTTTAAGATTAACTCCACCCTAATATTTATGTAGGGCTTTCTTCACTTATCATTTGTCTTTCAATAATTATTTGTCACACTAAAAGTGGCTGCTCATCAGTGATTTTATCGCTTACAGATTCCTGGTATATTATTTTTTATCGCGCTACTCCATTTATGCTATTTTTCCAATTCATCTCGCTTATCATCAGTCGCTCATATCAATTTCAAGTTTATATTAATTTCACAGGAAAATGGCTGGCAAAAAGTTTAATCATCAATCAAATTATCAGCGACTTTAATGTATGAGTCTTTATGAAAGTGAATACCCAATAAACAAAAGAAGATCAATGCTTATTTTTTTCAGTAACCTTAAATCTCGAAGTTATCTTCTACTTATATTGAGGTTTATGTTAGAACCGATTGATTCAGACTCACTTTCTGAGTCCGCCGGCCATATAATTCAAAAGTTTGAGTTTTCTATTTGAGTGGTGTAGAAACAAAAGCAGTAAACTCCATTTTAACCATGACTTTAACTAAAAGCTTTGAATTAAATTTTCGAGCAAACTTCTCTATGAATTTTTTTACTCAATTTGAAAAATACTAAAATGGAGATTGCTGCCTTTGTTTCTTTACCTCTCAAACTAAACAAAAATTCTCTTTAATTAGTTTCTCACTTTTCGAGAAAACTTCTCTATGATTTATTTTACTCAATTTGAAAAATACTAAAATGGAGATTGCTGCCTTTGTTTCTTTACCTCTCAAACTAAGCAAAAATTCTCTTTAATTAGTTTCTCTTTTACACTAGAGAGTTAAAAGCTTGAGTTTCAAATTATTCCCAAAATGAGCGTTCATATTATAAAATTTTGAGAAAAGCTAATTTTAATTTAAATATTCATGTTTGTTGGGTTCTTTTACAATTATGATTGTATATCCGTGTGAGTTTCTGTCTCCTGTTTTTTTTACACGTTAGACATTTACAGGATTTTGTTTCTTTTCATGTTTTCGCTTTTTTCATGAATATATTGATTAAGGATAATTATGTGTCTCTTATTTACCACCATCATAAATTGTACATATAATGCTCGAACGTTTAAATAAATGAATTGGAATAATAATGTAAAATTGGGTCATTAAATATTAAAGTTGTAAGAGAAAAACTGTTGTATTTTATTAAAGTGATGTGAATATATTAAAAAATTAAAGTGTTAAATTTAATACATTTTCCAGTTCTTGCTAAATTTTTTAGTTAAATTTTAATTTATGTGTATAACTACAATAAGAATGTATGTTACATCAAATCCGAAGAAATACACCTAGCTCTTCATCAGGCCCGTTGTGTGCTACCTTAACAGTGCCTCAAGTGGAAATCGAACTCCCGACCTCCGGCCTAACAGACAAGAATACTAACCACTAACCTAATGGAGGCAACGCACAATGAAATTGTAATATAAAAATTTCTTTGCAAAAACCTATAAAATTCAAGGAATTGGGAAATTAAAAAAAAAAAAATTTTAGAACAGATATCGTCAGTTAGTGATAAATGAGCTCTCTCTCTTTGTCTTTTTCATATGTAAGCATACGTACGTAAGAAAGCGATATAGCTCTTTATCGTTGTCAGTAGAATTTTTTAAATATTTTCTTTGTCTTTGTTCTATTTTTAATTAGTGATAAATGAGCTCTCTCTCTCTCTCTCTCTCGTTGTCTTTTTCATATGTAAGCACACGTATGTGAGTAAGCATGAAAGCTCTTCACCTTTCTCAGTTTTAAAACCACTAGCTATAGTAAAGCAGTGATAAACTAAGTATGAATGTTTGAGCTCTCACACAAGAGAACAAAAAAGCTAAAAAAAAACAGAACCCCTCAGCTGTTCTAAAGAGAAATTTTAAAATTTAGTTTGGTTTAACTACAAAGTTATATAACAAATGATTACATGCTAGCTTACCAATAATAGGTAGAGTAAACAATTGACTTGTATGCTGTATAAAACGTGTGTAATTTTAATTATATATTATATAAGAAATGAAACAGCTGAAGATGTTATTCTTCAATTATACAAGTGTATTTTCAAGGGTCTTTTATTATTTTATTATCTTTTTACTCTTTGTGCAATCTAGTTGATTTCGCAAAAGGTTTTTTATTCATAATTTTTAGGGAAAATGCTTTCTTTCAATTGAAACACTTAATAAGTTGTTTTAAATTGTTGCACGAGCAAAAAATTAGTTTACATAAAAACAGAAAAGAATAAGGATAATAAAAAACGAAATTAATGGAAAAGTTGTCCTTGAAAAATGTTGAAACTTAAACGAATATTGGCATTTCTTTAAAGATCATAAAATTTCTATGAATTTCGAAATGTTATTATATAAACATGATAAATTTATTTAAGAACATCAAGAGGATCATTTCTCTTTTCCCTTTAGGATACAAAATAGACTTAAGAAGAGTTTGCTGCAGAGCAACTAATAAAGTTTTTGCTTTATTAGCTAAGATCGGTTAGTTTCGAAAACAACGATCAATCTACATCTGATCGTTGTTTTCGAAACTAACCAATCTTAGCTGAAATCAATTTTCTTATTAAATTTCCATCATTTCCAAAGCCAGTGGGATCTTTAAGATCAATTTAAGAAAAAATTGATTTACATAACTTTTATCAAATGTATTTTAACATTATCAAGTTCTTATTTTTAATATTTTCAACCTTAAACTTCTTTTCAGCTCATGGTGCCATCTTAGCTGGTCATGGTTTGGGATTGGCTCCAGCCCACTATGCTGCCCCTGCTCTCGTTAAGTAAGTATTAAAAAAGGAATGCAAAAGAAACCGAGAAGAAAGTGAACACCGATATACTACACGATTAATCACGGACTTGTGATCATAAATAGGCTTATTCTTGAATTAAAAAACGATTAATACAAGAATAAGTGTTTTTGGAAAGTTGTACACCTTGAACCCATTAGGACCGATTGAAACAGTTTTCAAAATGCATAAAAATAAACCATTTATGAAAAAATGTTTACTTACTTGGGAAAAAGGATTTACCTCGTGAAAACAAAGTAAAAGGAGCGTTATCTCTCGCGAAAGAACTTCATTCGAGGCAAATAAATTCTTCAGTTTATCGTGAATATTTCTTTTTTTTGCGTGAGATTAAATAATACATCTCGCGAGAGCTATTTTAATGTAAAGAGCGGAAAATAGGTATCGTCCATGAAACGAATAAAAATTAATATTTCGTGAGTTTTATAATATTGTTCATAAAGTAATTTAATGCAAAATAAATTCTTGTTGCGTGTCGAGAGTAAAAATTAATATTTTGTGAATTTTATAATACTGTACATAAAGTAATTAATAGAAAGAAAAACTGTTCTTCGTCATATAACCAGTTTTCGCTCACATATTTTTGTATATGATTTGAGTCAACGTTGTGTCCATTATGATTTCTCTCGTGAGCGAAATTAAAAAAAATCGATAAATATCTTTCGTGAAGCGAACATAAAACTAGTTTCCGTGAACACATTTTGGTGTATGAGTTGTATTCATGCTCTGTTCATTATAATTTCTCTCGTGAGCAAAATTAACAAATCGATAGATATCTTTCGTGAAGCGAACATAAAAAAGTTAAGAGTTGAAATAAAATTAGTTTCCAATATTTCTCATCAATTTAAATAATAAATCTCTCGAGAAATATTTTATTTTAAAGAGCAGAAAATAAAAGTTGTTCATGAAACGAGTAAGAATGAATAATTCCTGAATTTTATAATATTGTAAATAAAATCATGTAAATAAAGCCATAAAACCGGTTTGTGCTCGCCATAAAACCGTTTTCAGCTCACACGTTCGCGAGCGAAATTTAAAAACACAAAATGTTCTCTCGTGAAGCGAACATAAAATATTAAAGAGTTGAAATAAAAATATAAAAATCTCGTGAAAATCAGTTTTATAACGAGAGAAATGAATGAATTTGTACTCACGAATGCAAAATTTTCTTACTCTGGATTTCGAGTCAAACGAAACATTACACGTGGTTATTGCAAATAGGCACGCAGACACATTATAACCTCTCCTTTAGCTTAGGATATATAAAAAGAAAAAAAAAAAAAAAACAACAAACACTCTCCATAAAATGTTTACCTTTAGTTTTTACTTTGTAAAATATTAAAACATGTTTTAAACAATTTTCCCTTTTTTTATATTTATACTGCTGATTTATGTAAAGAATGTTTAAGTAAAGAATGTTTAAAAAAAAGAAACTGTTTCAACTTATTTTACTTCCTTTACAGAGCTGTAGCTGCTCCAGCTTTAGTGCATACATCCGTTGCCGGTCATGGTGTCCATTACGGTTACTAAACACTTTCAACGCGTTACAGGGAAAAAAGAAGAAAAATAATAAGATAAGAGAAGTAAAGAGAGCAAAGAAAAAAAAACATGAAAACTATGATGATATTGCAGAACTTCCGAATAGCTTGCCCCAAACCAACCCAAACGAAAACAAACTAAACACCAACCCAGAACCTTGTTATTTTATGTATTGAATAACTTTCATACTTTCCATCTTTTTTCTTTTACCTTTAAATACTCTTAAAATTAAAGTTAAAGAGAAAAAAAGAAAGAAATATGAAAAATATTTATTTTCTGTAAATATTTAATTTACTTTTGTTGCTTTAATGTGAAGTAAGAAAGAACTCTATATCGAAGGATTTACACACTAAAATATAACAAAAAAAAAAAAACACAAACACTTTAAAAAGGGGAGAAGAGAGCAAAAAATTTAGTATTAAAACTAAACATCTTTTTATGATTCCTTTTTTCCGAAATTTTGTTATAAAACTTTTAAAAAAAAAACTTTAATTTGTAAATAAAACTTTAATCAATTTATCGCGGTTAAATTTTACTATGTAAAAAACAACAACAACAATTATAAATGATGTGTCGAAATAAAAGAGAAATATTAAAAAAAAAACAAACATAAAATATTAAATTTTAATTTATTTTATTTTTAAATCAAGGTAATAAATTAAAAATAATCTTATTTAGCATTTTGTTGTTTAAAATAGATAGAGAATTATGCAAATACTGTTTAACCCATTGAGAGGAGTTAGGTAATAAGATAGTTTCCACCTCGAACGTATTTCAAAGTCTTTTGTTGATGCTATTTACCGAAAAAGGTATGATCGCAGGATACTTACAGAGATGGAAGAAGTTTAAGTTTTTTTTTTTTTAATATTTCTTAGATTTGTTAGCTCAGAAATATAAGTGATCATAGATTAAGTTTCTTTAAGATTTCATATTAAAATACATACATAAACACATTATTTAAGTGATCAGCGATCAAGCTCCTTTAATGGATCAAACACAAAGTTTCAAAGATCGTCTCTATTAAACACAACTTTACAAAAAAAGCTAAGTAAAGTTTTTAATTTCATTGATCGAGCTCTTTAAACAGATATTTAAGGTTCAATGTTTTTTTATTAATAGCTAGATTATAGTATGATCACTGATGAAGTTCCTTTTCTAAGCTTCTTTTTTCGATCAAGTACATCAGAAATCTTAATAATAATCATTATTGATCGCGCTCTTTAAATAGATGTTTAAGGTTCTATGTGTTTTTATAAATAACTGGATTATAGTATGATCACTGATCAAGTTCCTTTACTGAGCTTCTTTTTTCGACCAAGTAGATCACAAATCTTAATAATAATGATCATTGATCGAGCTCTTTAAACACATGTTTAAGATTTTATGTTTTTTATGGAAAGCTGGATTGTAGTATGATCACTGATTACGTTTCTTTACTGAGTTTCTTTTTTTCGATCAACTAGATCAGAAATCTTAATAATAATCATCATTGATGGGACTCATTGAACAGATATTTAAGGTTCTATGTTTTATCATAAATAACAGGATTATAGTATGATCACTGATCAAGTTCCTTTACTGAACTTCTTTTTTCGATCAAGTAGATCAGAAATCTTAATAATAATGATCATTGATCGCGCGCTTTAAATAAATGTTTAAGATTTTTTGTTTTTTATGGAAAGCTGGAGTTACTGAGTTTTTTTTCGATCAAGTAGATCAGAAATCTTAATATCAATCATCATTGATCGAGCTCATTAAACAGATGTTTAAGGTTCTATGTTTTTTTATAAATAGATGGATTATAGTATGATCACTGATCAAGTTCCTTTAGTGAGCTTCTTTTTTCGACCAAGTAGATCACAAATCTTAATAATAATGATCATTGATCGAGCTCTTTAAACAGATGTTTAAGATTTTATGTTTTTTATATGGATAGCTGGATTGTAGTATTATCACTGATCAAGTTTCTTTACTGAGTTTCTTTTTTTTTCGATAAACTAGATCAAAAATCTTAATAATAATCATCCTTGATCGAGCTCTTTAAATAAATGTTTAAGGTTCTATGTTTTTTTATAAATAGCTAGATTATAGTATGATCACTGATCAAGTTCCTTTACTGAACTTCTTTTTTCGATCAAGTAGATCAGAAATCTTAATAATAATGATCATTGATCGCTTTCCTTAAACAGATGTTTAAGATTTTATGTTTTTTTATGGAAAGCTGTATTGTAGTATGATCACTGATTAAGTTTCTTTACTGAATTTCTTTTTTTCGATCAACTAGATCAGAAATCTTAATAATAATCATCATTGATAGGACTCATTCAACAGATGTTTAAGGTTCTATGTTTTTTTTTATAAATAGATGGATTATAGTATGATCACTGATCAAGTTCCTTTACTAAGCTTCTTTTTTCGATCAAGTAGATCAGAAATCTTAATAATAATAATGATCATTGATCGCGCTTTTTAAACAGATGTTTAAGATTTTATATTTTTATGGAAAGCTGGATTATAGTATGATCACTGATTAAGTTTCATTACTGAGTTTCTTTTTTTTCGATCAAGTAGATCAGAAATCTTAATAATAATCATCATTGATCGGGCTCATTAAACAGATGTTTAAGGTTCTATGTTTTTTTATAAATAACTGGATTATAGTATGATCACTGATCAAGTTCCTTTACTAAGCTTCTTTTTTCGATCAAGTAGATTAAACATATAAGTAGGTACTTAAAAAATTATTCAGAGGTCACTGATCTAGATGATTAAAAACGATTGAATTTTAAGACTTAGTTCAATATTTGGATATTAATTTGTAATCTATAAGATCGGGAGTGCAGTATTTTTTCCTAATTAAAACAATATTAAATTAAAAAATTAATTAAATATTATTAATGATTCAACAGGTTTTTAAATTAATGACTATTAATGTACGATCTATGATCATATAAATGATCACAGAAAAAAAATATATATATTTTAGTAAGAAAGCGATAAATTATCTTCTTTTGTAGTAAGGCAAGGAAGGCAAATTTTCATTTATAAGATCAAACACTGGAAATCTAAAAGATCCAGGATCACACACCTTTTCTTTATTAAAATTATGGTAAAAAAGTTAAAGACGATTTTAAAATGGATATTTAAAATGTCAGGGATCGTGCACATTTTGTTTATTAAATATGTAATAAACAAGAGTTAAAGATTTAAAAACTTTTGAGATAAAAAACTTTTTTAAATATCAGTAGGGTATGTAAAAGTGATCTCTGATTAATTCTTTCACTAAAAAATATATACTAAAAATTAATTAATTTAAAATATTTCAGGGCGACTCTCAAATGCATAACAATCTCGATATCATGTGTCATCAATTAGTTTTAAGCATGATTGACTTCAATGAAATATATTTAACTAAGTATTTAATTTAAGTTCGCATAAAAACAAACAAAAAAGTGTATGTGATAGAGGAAAAAATACACAATGACATTAACTACAGGATACAGTAGTATTAATACTTTAGTGTCATTCATTTAAGCAAATAAAAAGCAAAACGATAAGACCAGGATAAACATTTGCACAAGTTGGTAGAGGAGCCATGCAGCAAGCAACAAGAAAAAAAAATGGAAAATTTTGTTCTTCTTATACATAGATGATTGAAACATTTGTCGTTTTTTTTCTATTCCATTTATTAAATAAAAGCTCAGGTGGCAAATAAGTCACAAGTGTCTGAGTCTTTCCGACTTTTGGATCTTATATGGTTTTTTGTATAAACATTATACATAATTTGTTTGCATCACTTTCAAACTTTATTCGAAATATTTGCATTTATTGATTGTAGATATTTTGTATTTGAACTTTAAAATAATTGACATTTTATTTTTAGTTGAACTTTAGTTACTTGTAAAGGAGGTTAAATAGAAATTTTGGAAAACTTTTAATTTTTATGAGTCGTCTAGAGGAGACTGGAATATATATTATTATAATTGACAATATTGGTCGACTCTAGCTGACTCCATTCGTCTCTATTCTCATTGTTTTCATTTGATTTTATTCCACTCAAGTCTTCTCTATTTTAGTCTATTCCAGAAATTCGACTCCATCGATTTCAAACGAATCTATTCAGCAGACTCTATTCCTATCCATTCTAGTCGACGCTATTGTAGTCGACTCTCTAATATTGTCGACTCTAATCTAGTCTATTCTAGTTAAGTCTCTTCTAGTCGACTCCAGTCGACTCTATTCCAGTCGACTCCAGTCGAGTCTATTCTAGTCGATTTCAGTCGACTCTATTCTATGTAGTCGACTCCAGTCGAATCTATTCTAGTCGACTCCAATCGACTCTATTCTAGTCGAATCCAATCGACTCTATTCTATTTGACTCCTGTCGAATCTATTCTAATCGACTACATTCGACTCTATTCTAATCGACTACAGTCGACTCTATTCTAGTCGACTCCTGTCGAATCTATTCTAGTCGACTCCAATCGACTCTATTCTAGTCGAATCCAATCGACTCTTTTCTAGTTAAGTCTATTCTAGTTGACTCCAGTCTGACTCTATTCTATGTAGTCGTGTCCAGCCGACTATATTCTAGTCGACTATAATGGACTCTATTCTATTCGACTCCTGTCGAATCTATTCTATTCGACTCCTGTTGAATCTATTCTAATCGACTACAGTCGACTCTATTCCTGTCGACTCCAATCGACTCTATTCTAGTCGAATCCAATCGACTCTATTCTAGTCGAATCCAATCGACTCTATTCTAGTCGATTTCAGTCGACTCCAGGCCACTCTATTCTAGTTCATTCTATTCTAGTTGACTCCAGTCGTCTCTTTTCTAGTCGACACCAGTCGACTTTATTCTAATCGACTCCAGTCAACTCTATTCTAATCGACTCCCGTCGACTCTATTCTAGTCGACTTCAGTCCACTCTATTCAGGTTAACTCCAGTCCATTCTAATCTAGTTGACTCCATTCGACTCTTTTCTAGTCGACTCCAGTCGTCTCTGTTATGGTCAACTACAGTCGTCTTTATTCTACTAGACCCCTAAATATTTAATACGAAAAATGTTGCTAATTTTGTCATTGTCAGCGAATTTCATTTTAACAACTTCCTTTTATAGAGATTTATTTTATTTGTTTCTCATATTTTTTCATATTCCTCCCAATAACTTCGTATAACCAAAAAGGATTGTACATTTATGCATTCTTTTGCCGGTTCGCTACTTTTTTCTCCAACACATCCGCTTTGCAAGCCATTCTTCCGGTTTGTGTTGTTTAATAATTTAATGGCAGAAAAGTGAAAATAAATAAAATATTTTAATTTTTTGTTAGACCTAAAATTATGGAAAAAAAAACATAAATAATTTTCAAGGATTCATACATGGCACACAGAGCGATATGGATTTTAA